GATGAGTCTGTGGTCCACGCAGGAACATCGGGGAGAATGTCAGGGAGGAGAGCAGTCATGGCCCGCGATGAATCCATGGTCCATGTAGGAACATCAGGGAGAATGTCAGGGAGGAGCATGGTCATGGCCCACGATGAGTCCATGGTCCACATAGGAACGTCAGGGAGAACGTCAAGGAGGAGCGTGGTCACGGCCCGCAACAAGTCCATGGTCCACGTAGGAACATCAGGGAGAAAGTCAAGGAGGAGCGTGGTCATGGCCCGCGATGAGTCCATGGTCCACATAGGAACGTAAGGGAGAAGCATGGCCATAGTCCTCGATGAGCACGGTATTTTCTGCAGGGGCTCTTCCCTTCTTCTGAGCCTTAATTGTGTCTTGAAGTCAGGGCTTCTTTCTCTAGTCAGACAGATGGCCCCAGACTCCATTTGATTTGAAGCTTTTACTCTTCCTATGGAGGGATCTGCTTCCAGAAACCTCTTGTGATCTAAGGCGTTGCACAAAAGTGATGCCTGCCCTGTGGCAGGCTCAGGACAGAGGGCTTCTCAGCAGAAGTACAAAGGGAAATGTGCTGATTGCTCCCTGCAAACACCAGCCTGGGCCGGGTACCCTCTCCGCTCCCCTACGATCCGAGTGCTTTGTGGAACCCTAGGGGCTGGGCGTTTCCCAGGGCCTGGGGGCCAGCCATGTAGTGATTTGCTAATCCTTTCCGAAGTGGGAACAGAGGTTCAGAGGCAGAAATGGCACAAACCAGCAGAAGTATTGTTGTTTGTTGGGAATGAGAAAGCCTTGGCTAACCTGGGGCTGAGTGGGAATTGTCAGGGTGGCCTTGGCCATGTGGGTTTGCCTCTTCCCCATAAACTGTTGGGTGTGGGATATTTTGGCCAAGCCACCCCCAGCCCCGCCTCACAGACTGGGCACTGAAAGTAGGTTGGGGGCCCTGGGCCATCTTGAGGGCCCACACCCCTCAGTCAGGCTGGCATGGTTGTAACCAGCAGAGACCATCTCTGGACAAGACTCCCCGGAAGATGGGGGAGCTCGTAGAGCTGGGGGCGAGTTGATGAATCCTGTGCCTGAAAGGGCAGGGGCAGGGCCAGGGAGCCGGGCAGTGGGGGCCCTGGGGGTGACACTCACTGGCAGGGCCAGGCAGCGGGGGCCCTAGGGGTGGCGCTCATGGGCAGGGCCAGGCAGCGGGGGCCCTAGGGGTGGCGCTCACAGGTAGCCTTTTCAGGCCTACCAGCTGGGTGCCCGCCCCAGCACCCCTTAGCTCAGGAGTGGGCCTCAGAGCAAGCAAGCATCCAGTCAGCCAAGCCTGAGTTCTGAGCCCACTCCTTGGTCAGGGGAGACCGAGGCTCACTGGCTGACAGTCCCTCCAAGACACTGTCCTGGGAGGGCGTGCTGTTAGCAGAAGAGGGGGCCTGCCCCGCTGGCTGCAGTTCCATGCACTCATCGGGAGGAGCAGGGTGGGGCTTGTCTAGAGCAGGACCTGCCACTGCCCCTGCACCCCGGGTCCAGATAGAGGCCGGCGGGAGGAGCCCAGCCTGACCTGGGGGCAACCCCGACTCCCCAATGATTTCTGACTTTGCATGAGCCTGGTGGTTTGGGGGCAGCAGGTTCAGTCCAGTGAACACCCATTTCCATCTGCAGCATGCTGGGAGCATGGACAGTAGGAGCCAGACAGGCCTCTGCTCCCAGGGGCCAGGGTTGGTCCAGGGTGCTGGGGGCGCCATGTGAGCCGACAGCAGCCCTTCACAAAGAAGCTCACACTCTCCTGGGGGCACAGAGCACGGGCATGGGCACAGGGAGCTGACAGATGCTGGCCCATGGTAGATGGAGAGACGGTACAGACAAACACATGGGCTGGGAGGGCCCCGCCAGGGAGGTGGTGGGACAAGTAGTCATGCAGAGGCTCAAACGCAAAGGCCTCAAGGTGGCTGTGAGCTTGGCCCATTCCCGCCGGGTGTGTGAGTTGGGGGGGATGTGAACAGGCAGGTCCCCGGGGCCAGTCCCTGGGCCTGTGAACCGTGGGGAAAAGGTTTGTCCTGGGTTCTAGCCTGCTCCTGGGGGAGGCGTGGAGCGTTACAAGCAAAAATGATGTGGCCTCCTTTCTGCTTTAGATGGCAACTCTGGCTTCTGGGTGGAGAACGGGGCCTCAGGCAGAGGCAGGGCTGCTGGTGAGGAGGCGCCTTCGGGATTTCAGTGGGGACAGTTGGTGGTTTGGAGTTGGAGACGCAGGGGGTGTAAGAGTGCTCACAACTTGGGAACTGGAAGCTGCTCTGGGGATCAGCAGGGAATGCTGAGAAGTGCTTGGTGAGTGAACCAAGGAAGGAGTGAGCGAGCAAGTGAATGAGTGAGTGAGTGAATGAATGAGTGAACCAATGTGTGAGGGAAGGATTGAGTCAATGAGTGAGTGAATGAGTGAACCAATGAGTGAGTGAATGAGTGAGTAATGAGCGAGTGAGTGAATGAATGAACGAGTAATGAGCGAGTGAGTGAATGATTGAATGAGTGAGTGAACGAATGAATGAGTGAATGAATGAGTGAACCAGTGAGTGAGTGAATGAGTGCATCAATCAGCAAGTGAGTGAGCAAGTGCGTGAACGAGTGAGAGTGAGTAATGTGCAAGTGAGTGAATGATTGAGTGAGTGAGTGAAGAAGCGCCTCCTGGACCTCGAGGGCGGGGCCAACCTCCAGAGCCGTGGCACAGGCTGACTAACTGGGCAGGGCAGGAGGGGTGGCGGCCTCTGGCTCACATGCCCACACTCCTGGGGGCGCTTAGTCAGAAGGGCCCTGCGGTGCCCCACTGCCAAGAGGACAGGCTGGCTCAGTGGAAGGAAAAAGCCCATGACAGCGTTCCATGCCTGAGTCAGGGCTGGGGCGCTGGTCTGCTTCCTGATTTTGTTGGTGAGGCCCCAAGCCAGTCACGCCGCCCAGCCTTCTCTCTTCTGCTTTCCTGGCCCTGTCTGGGCTGGGGTTTCCGTGGGCTCCGGCCTGGGTGACAGACATAGCGGGCTGGGGGGTGGTTCCCTGTGTTGCTTCCTTTCTGTCTGGGTGCCTGTAGCCTGGGAGCTGGCTTCCTTGTCAGGCAGAGCCTGGCCGTGAGCGGGCCTGCCTTCTCTCCCTACATGTTTCCCTGGAGCGAGGGGCCTGCTGCCTTCCCCGGCCACAGTCCTGGCTGAACGCTGCCGCAGCCCTGGTGGCAGGGCTCTCGCACACTTGTCACCCTGCTCCACGTGGTGACTTCACTGTGGGCTTTCAGCTGTGCATCTGGCTGCATGCAACATGCCAGCTGGGAGGGAGGCAGGTATAGTCGAATTGCACTCTTTCCAGATATTTCCAAGATGGTTGTCATTTGGGTGGTTAAGTCACTGTGAGCTCCAGGAGGGCAGTATCTCCCAGTAGCATAGGATTGCTTTAAACCCAGAAGGGGGCACTGGGGAGGGCCTGCCCTATCCCACACAGCCATGTGGGCTCCTGCTCTTCCTTCTGAGCCCACTTAGCATTTCCTCCAGGAAGCCAGCCCTGATCTCCCCTCCCAGCCCATGCCTCGGGGCCCTGGCCTTGTCACCAGCCCCGTCTCTCCTTGGTGTAGTCTTTTGTCTTCTTGACTGTCCCCTCCACGCCATGGGAGCCTCCTGAGGACCAAGACGGGACCTTCTTCACCTCAGTGTTCCCACGTAGCCCGGGACTGGCACTTGCCACCAGTGCAGAGGTTCTGGAATGGGGCAGCTGGGGGTGGGGACAGGGGAGCTGGTGCCAGGCACTTGCCACCCTCTTATCTAGGTGGGACAGATGTTCCCTAATCAGCCCCACCTTTGTCCTTCCAGGCCTTAAAGAGCCAGGACTGGGCTCCCACCCACTTCTTGGCCTCTGAGCCTCGTGTGCCCCTGTTGTTTGGGAGGATTGGGGTCCCTGTTGAAACGGAACCCTCTCTGACGAGCAGGCTGACTCCTGGGGCTGAGAGCTGCTCTTCAACATTGTGTGCCCACCCCCAGCACAGCGCCTGCACATGAAAAGCTTACATATTTGCTGAGTGAATGAATAAACGAGGCTTTGGAATACTTGAGGCAGAGTCTTCTTCCCAGGGCCCTGACTGGGGCACAGTCTGTTCTTCACCAGAGGTCAGAACAGCGTTCTTGACCTGGGCCTTGAGGAACACTGTGACTTCCAGAATTCCCCACGCGCAGCGTACTGTGGAGCTGTGGAGCGGGTGCCCTGGACACGGGCCTTCCTAGTCTGCTGTGCAGTCAGTGACCACAGCACGGCTCGGCTGGTGCTAGGCATGGGGCCTGGGGGAAGATGTAGGGTGTTTACTGGGGAAAGGAAAACCCTTGTGGAAATATGGTGCCAAGGTGTTCAGAAGTCATAGCTGTTAGTTTGAGGCCAAATGTAACCATGGAGTTTCTGTTTCAGGTTAGAGACAATGCCTGGGGACTCGGGGCTGGGGGAGCTTGTGGTAGCCATAGTGGCCAGGCCCCTTGAGCCTTCACTCGATGCTTCTGCCCAGAGGAGGAGGAGATGTTCTTGCATCTGGAGGGGAGGGCTCTGGGAGTTGACGATGGGGCCCTGCCTCCTCACTTGAGGTTCTTCCCGCCACCAGGGGAGATCCCCCCTTCTCTCGGCCTGGGATGCGGGAGACCTTGTTTTCAGCCCAATGTGGTGGAGTTTGCTCAACCATTTGCCCTCACACCTCCTCCCATGCCCTCCTGACATCGCTCACATGGAAAAATCCCCTCGTGTCAGGAGTCACGGGGCTTCCTGGTGTGCTTTCAAAGCCATTAACTTGATGGACTCCATAACTCACTGGAGACTTTGGACAAAGAGTCCAAGCCTAATTATGTGCAGATGTTGTCTCTTCAGACTCTCTCTTCCTTTCCCTGGCCCGACACTGGCAAAAGGCAGTTACCCCTTAAATCGTGACTTTAGTGAGTGTTCAGTACAGAGCCATGTGAAACGTGCTTCCATGACTTGAAGAAGTGAATAGCTTTTCTGGTTGTTTTCAGCACACGCCCAAGAAGATGAGTCAAGGACCTACCCTTTTCTCTTGTGGAATTATGGGTAAGTAGCCGAGGCGTCTGTGTGCAGTATGCTGTTCGGTCTTCCTCTAGCCACTCACCCAGGCCTGAGCCCTCCAGGTGAGGCACTGAGCGCTTCATGGAGCAGCCAAGGGGCCTCTTCTGTGGGGGTTTGCTGTCGGGGTCCCGGGTGGCAGGGGTGCCCTGGGGGGCTGCTGGGCTGAGTGAGGCACAGGCTTTAGGCGTGAGCGGCAGAGAGTTAATTTCTAGCTGTCATGTGGGTAGTTTCTACCTGATTGTTAAAATCACTAGTGTGTATTTTTTTAGTTAGAAAATATACCATAGTAAAAATTATAAAAGTCTTCCATGGTTCCCCAACACCCGTGGTAACTCCTGTGAATATTTTGGTGTATTTTCACCTTTTTTGCATAATCGAGTGCACAATAAACATACGATTATATGAAATTACCTACAGTAGAACCTACGAAAGCCAGAACCTGTGTGAGACGGAAACCTGTTAGAGGAGGAAAACACAGATATTTTCCACTAATAGAGAGTGATAGAAAAGTGGTGAGACCGCACCCTGTCAGAGGTGGAAAACCTGGGAGACCTGCAAAAATAGGGCAGTCCCGCTGAGTTCCAGCTCTCACAGGTTTCACTGTATTTATACAAAACATATATTTATATCTATCTATTTTTTTTTTTCCTCCCGTTGGATAGTAGTTACCCTCATTTCTTCAAGCAGTAGACTTGTTCACCCCATCCGTTTAGTTTATAATACTGCATTGCGTGGGCGTATCAAAATGCGTTTAACGATTTCTTGGTTGTTGGGTAGAGGGCCTCTGTTATTTGCTGTCGTAGTTAACAGTGACTCCCTAAGTGTACACGTCTTTGTCTGCTTTTGGGTCATCCCTTGAGAAGGTCCCTGGGGTGGACTAGAACGGACGGAGAGCAGGACCGTTTGGAAGGCTCTTGATGCATGGTGCTTGACCTGCTTTCTGGAGGGGTTGCCTTCCCCTCCTGTGTGCGTGCTAGCGCGAATTACTGTTGTTTTTAAGGGGGATAAAGGCCACGATATTCACGGTATTGATTTCTTTATGCTCCAGGTGATGGGACACTATTTCTCCTTCTGCTGTCCCTCCATGAGGTCAGGCAGGACCCCTGAATCTCCTTTCCCGCTTTGGGGACGCCTGGCCAGAGGAGTTTCTGTAATGCCCCCGTGGGATCCCAGACCAGACTCGGGTGATGGAAAACCACTTGGGTTTTCAGTTTGCGTTTTCCCCTCCTAGGGCGTAGCGAGTCTTTCTTGCCCCTTTCCCAGCCCTTTCCTCTGAGCACGTGTTTGATTCTTCTCGTTTGGACTCAGTTCCCGTGGCTGAGGTGATGGGGACGGAGGTGATGCTGATGCATCACACTGACTGCCACGCTGGGCTCTTCGTGGGCACCAGGAGCTTCAGGGTGGGGCACTCTGTTCACTTGGGGGAAGCCAAGGCCTAGTAATGTGACCCCCCAACCCCACCATCGGAGGTGGACCCAGGTGGGTGGGAGGGAAGATGGCTTTCTTCTCAGTCACACGCCCAGCCCTGTGGGAGAGCCTTGGACGTGCTCTCCTTGCTGCCACCAGAGGAAGGAAGTAGGTGCTCACCTGGCCTTGGTTTACCTGTGTGACACGCTTCTGAGACTGTCCCCACATGGGGCTGACTGAACACCTCCTTGGGGTTAACGCCTTTCAGCAAACCCTCAGCGCCTGGCCACGTGGCCCTGAGCCTGCCCGGTTGCCTTCTTCCTGCGCCCCTTTCACGGTTGAGCTGTGTGCCTTTGACATACGCAGGAAGGAGGGAAGGAGTGCGCCCCTGGGCATGCTCACATTCCACAGGCTGGGGCTTAGCTCTGCTCTGGGCTGTGGGGATGTTTGGTCTTTATCCCAGGGCCGTCTGTGGCAGGCTTCCTTGGCTTTGCCCCATAGACGAGAGGTGGGGCTCTTGCAGGTTTGCAGTGGGTGGTGTTGGGGCCCATAGAGTCCCTCTGAGAGGATTTCTTGACCCTTCTAAGCCTCGGTTCCCTCGTCTGCAGAGGATGTGAGAGCACCTACCTCATAGGCTTGCTGTGAGGACTGAGAAATCCCTGGTAAAGGGTTAGCTCAGAGTGAGCGTTCCGTACCTCAGAGGTGAAGAAGAGGACTAAGGCCTAAGCTGAGAATCCTGTTGACACCCAAGTGAAAGGGCCACCATGGTTTCCTCTGGGAAGGTGTTGCAGGTGACAGAGGCACCCTTGTGGAGGAAGATGGGAGGCTCCGGGGCCAAGGCAGAGGCCCCCTGGGAAGGGCAGCATGTGGGAGGAGGTCTCCTTAGACTTGTTCCTCGAGCCTGTCTGACCATGGAGCCCAGCACCTGCTTCCTGGGGGGCTTCTCCTGCCCTGGGCTCCCAGGAGGGCCTATGCTGCTTCTCCAGGTTCTACTTGATCCTCAGAGCGGGTCTCAGGATCCCTCCCAGGCCCAGGGCCTCGGCCATGTGCACCTTCCTTCCAAAGGCTCTCCTTTCTCTTCTCTGCAGGTTAGCACCAGGACCTCCAGGCTGGGTGGGGAGAAGCTGATCCCCTCCCCCTCCCCCTCAGCTTCTTTCTCCGTGCCCCTCCTTTTCCTCTTGTCCAGCCCCCTCTCAGGTGATAAACCCTGACCCATCTGTCAGTGGGTTCTTTGTTGACCAGACTGCGTCCCGGTGGTGCGTTCTGATAACTACTTACTGAGTGCCTCCTAGGTGTCAGGCACTTTGTGCAGGCATAGGGAGCGAGTAAGGCCAGCCCCTGCCCTGGAGGAAGTTTCTGTCCAGTAGGGGAGATGGAACAACGAACAGCTAATTCCCCATGCATGTGGCCAAGTTCCATGACATATGTCAACACTGGGGTCCTGGGAGCTATGACCAAGTCACCCAACCTTCCTGAACCTTGGTTTCCTCATCCTGAAAATGCAGTGTCTACTTGGTGGGGATGGGGTGGGTGGGAGTGTTTGTGCCCCGCTCGGCCCTCCTGCCCTGGCCCTCCCACTGGTCTCCATCTTTCCTGCCCAGCACTCCCTGGGGGCTTGGATTACCTCCCAGCCCAGTTAACCCCTGAACCGAGGTTTTGGGGCCCGACCCTGTGCCATGAACTGTGAGCACACCCCAGGCAGTGAGATTTCACCTCAGGTGTGCCCGCTCCTCGGTTGTGAGGATGAGAATACCCTGTAGGCCTGGCGGGACTTCTCTAGAGGGCTTTGGGCCTATTCAAGGCCAAAGTGCCCTGCCAAGATAAAATGCCATATTATTATAATCACCAAACTCCCTCCCTGTCTTCTGGAGATAAAGGACAAATGTTCTGGCTGGATCAGTGGAATTCTCCCGTGAGAACATGGGACAGCTTGGCGCTGTGACTTGGGGTTTGCCCTACTCCTGAGCCTCCATGGAAGGGGCCTCGCTGGAAGCCAGTTCGAGTTTCATAAATGTCCCTAAGAAAATCCAGGCAGTGCGTTAGGGAAGGAGGTTTGTTTGCTGCTTAGAATGTTCCAGTGGCCCTGCCTCCCTGCAGGACGGAGATAGAAGGTGCTGCTGCTGCAGTCAGGCGCTCCCAGCAGTGTTCTGTCCTTAAGCACTTGAAGCTCTGTGAGTAAGAGCTGGGCCACAGGCCCTCCCCACCTTACTCCCCAACCCTGATTGGGAACTTGATGCAGAGAAGCGTGTTTGTCCTTTTCCAAAGGGTAGGAGAGAACAGAGCAGGTCTGAGGTGTGGATGGGAGAAGCAAGCAGAGAGGAGCCGAGCTGCCACCGGCCTGCCCTGGCTGGGACCGCGGTCCTCCCTGAGACACCTGCTCTGTTCCAGGGCCGAGGCCCTCACCAGGGCATCCGCCCTACCTGGGGCTGAAACCCCTTCTAGTAGCGAGCACGCTCTGCCTCCTGGTTTCCCTTCTCACTTCCTGGGCCGTCTTCTGCTCATGAACTGGCATTTCCTCTGCAAACAGGCTCTCTAGGGTAGAGCCACGTATTGACCAATCACCGCGTGCCAGCCCCAGGAAACAGCGTTCAGGTGGCAGCTGCTTGGGCGTGGTCGCCCAGCACTCAGCTGCCAGGCCAGCGAGCTGTACCCCGTTCCTTCGGTTCGGCTTCTGGTGGGCGTAAAGGGGCTTTGGCCGCGGCTGAGAGAAGCATTCTGTGTGGGGAGTGGCGGCCCCCATGAGTCCTCGGGTCCACAGCTCCCTTGGGGTCCCCCGCATTTGCGTGGGGGATGTTTCTCTGGGCTGAACCAGGGTCACATGTGCACTAGTTTAATCTTTTCTGGTGAAGCAGGGCTGGTGGGGTGGGAGCAGGCTTCACTCCCTCCCCGGGCTAATTGCAGTCATTAAGAGTTCTATATGGTGGGACAGCGGGCTCTATGCGATTCCATTCTCCTCACCGCTCAGGCGAAGAGGAGACCTAGAAATCAAATAATATGTGAGAGAGCAAATGCAATACCAATTATTTCAAAAGGCCACTAGGAAAAGTCTTGTAAAGACATGTCAATGGGCAGGGAACAAAACAATTCATATGCTAAAAAAAATTGGATGGGAACTCATAATTACTTGAGGAGTTATGGTAATAAATTATTTATTAATGTAAATTACTTCCCAGGCATAGAACATAGAGGAACCTTGAGCAGAAGGATCATACATTATGTATAAAAAGGGATTGTAAAAATATTACAGCGGCCTTCCTTGTGTCGCTCGCTTGGGTTTGTCAGCGTTTTAATTATGAGCCCTTACTTTCAGCATTTAATTGCTTGGGTGCTAAAGTCTCCTCTGTACATAAACGGGTTGTTCTCTGGGGTACTCTCTGTAGTCATTTCTACAAGGTAGACCAGTTGGTGGTGTTGAGCTGTACAGGACTAGATTTCACTTTTAGATTTGGTCATTTCTGGTCTTTTAACTCAGCCTCTACGTGTCATTGGAAATGGAATGTGGTTGCACCTTGTATGAACAAGTTGGCATTTGGAGATTGAGAGTTTTAGGTTTTCTAGAACAAACAGGCACACGAAGG